AAATTCAGTTGCCTTTTCTATTTTTTTTTTAAATTTTTTTTAATTTATTTATGATAGTCACACAGAGAGAGAGAGAGAGAGAGAGGCAGAGACATAGGCAGAGGGAGAAGTAGGCTCCATGCAGGGAGCCCGACATGGTATTCGATCCTGGGTCTCCAGGATCATGCCCCGGGCCAAAGGCAGGTGCTAAACTGCTGCGCCACCCAGGGATCCCTCAGTTGCCTTTTCTAATTAAAACACTCTAAAATACAAAATTAAACTAAGTTTGATTGGGGATGCCTGGGTGGCTTAGTGGTTGAGCGTCTGCCTTTGGCTCAGAGTGTGATCTCAGGGTCCGCAATCGAGTCCCGCATTGGGCTCCTGGTGAGGAGCCTACTTCTCCCTCTGCCTATGTCTCTGCCTCTCTCTGTGTTCTCTTCTAAATAAATAAATAAATAAAAATCTTTTTAAAAAGCTAAGTTTGATTAAAAGCTTACGTAATGAAAAAAATAAAAAATAAAAGCCTACGTAATGAAAACTAATAACATAATTTTAAATGAAATGCTAAACAAAAATTTCACTTAAAATCAGGAACCAATGAATTCTATAAAATGACCTTTATTATAAATAATTATTTTAGAAGATCAAAAAGCCACCTGCCCCCCCCCCAAAAAGCTGGTTTAAATATTTTAAAAAGAGGAGAAAATTTTTTCTTTTTCTATATGTAATTATGTCCCTAGAAAACCCAGAAAATATTACTAAAAATTTCTAGACTTAATTAAAACACATTTGGCAAGGTAGCTGACTGCAACAAGATAAGCATTCAAAGTTAGTGTCTCTTCTTTTTGTCAGTGAGAGTCAGCTTAAAATGAAAATGGAAAAAAAGCCAATCCTGTTCATATTAACTGGAGTATCTTGCAAAATAGTGGAGAGAAATTTAATAGGGAAGACATAAAACCTATATGATTCTGTAAATTGTAAAATCTTGTTGAGGAAAAAGAAATAAGATGTGAACATATGGAAAAACATGTCAGTTATTGTTTGGGGACTTAATGTTATAGGAGTGTCAATCCTTCCCCAAATGATACACAGTTTTTGTCATTTCAGATTCACAAAGGTCCACTACATTAAGTGATTAAAAAGTTAGTACATTTCTGAAAATAGCCAAGAAAATTATGAAAAATGAACGAAAAATAGACCTGTGCATTAAAATGTATTGCCAAGCCCCTCTAACTAAACAATGTGATATAAATGATAGGAATGGAAGTACTTGAAAACAGAAAATAGAAAAAAAATGAATAAATATATCAATGTAATGGAATAGGGAGCTCATAAACAGAAATTAGTATATGTGGGAATTTTTCCTCTTACCATTTATGAAATGTTAGACCCTTAATTTATGCCAAATAGAAAAATGAATCCCAGATAAAATTTAATTGTAAAACATAAAACACAAAAATAATTAGAATGAAATTGAGGAGTCTAGTCACTACCTAGAGATTGAAGTGATTTTTTTTTTATTTTTTAAAAAATGATTTTATGTATGTATTTATGAGAATGAGTGTGGGGGTGGTGGGGCAGAAGGAGAAGGAGAAGCAGACTTCTCACAGAGTAGGGAGCACAATACACCTATGACCTGAGACCATGACCTGAGACCATGACCTGAGCTGAAGGCAGACACTCAACCACTGAGCCATCCAGGTATCCCTCTTTTTAAACTATTATTGACTGGTCAGTGTCCATTAAATGGCTAGAATATAGTGGGGTTTTTTTTGTGTTTGTTTGGTTTTTAGATTTTGTATGTCAGTAGTAAATTACTTGTTGAAATTTTGCATTTGGGCTTTTTGTAATTTTAAAAAATTACTCTGTCTATATTATACCTTGGAAACTACAAAAATAGCATGTATAAATATTTTTTGAAATTAAAATAAGTTTTTTATATATTAATACTATTGTATAATATACTATATTAGTCTATATTAGACTATAAGTATAGTCTAATAATATCTTGTATTGAGCCATAGTATGATTATATAACCTCTAGTCACAGACTAACTCAACATGGTTGTGATATTAGGCAAAGCCATTTACATTTTAATGTCTATTATTTCACAATTTGTAAACATTACCATTGTTAGTAAAGAACTAAAAAAACTTCCATTTTTATGTGCATGCAAAAGAAAGTGATTATGATGAAGATCCTAATCTCTTATTAGAGATGGTATGATGGTGTGGAGAACATTGAAGGAACTGTAGATAGTTAGCTTGGAGAATTGGGAGACTCATTATTAACGAATAATGCAGCTGTCATTAGTTTGACCTAATGTCATTTTAGTTTGACCCATTTGAGCCCTAGATGCTGATTTGTGTGTATTTGTTGACTGTGTCTAACACAAAGGGGATCACTTTTGTAGTTGGTAGGGCGTACCATATATTGATCCCTCTGATGAAAGAGCCAGATAATGAACTAATCCTCAGGTCAAACCCAAGATTCAATCGCGTCCCTTTATGCATTTGACCAGCTTTCAGGTCCAAGTGATAGGATGGATTTGAGTCTAATCTAGTTAGAAAAATATTTGGAACATGTATTACCAGACATCAGAACCAGCTGGGCCAGAGATTTCAGCAAGGGAGAAACCAGGAGGCATAGTAATAAACATTCGGAAGGAATGCAAAGTCAGGGCCAGGGCAGACATGTCATGGGCATCAAGTCCTAAGAGGACAACAGGAATCAAGGCCCCTTCGATCTGTGATCAGTAGTAGCCTTAGGTTAAAGCCATTATCATGAGAATAGTCACGGTGGAATCTCTTCTACACTTCCAGTTTAGACCTGAATACCCTCTTTTCAGGGTGGCTAGATACCGCAAGAATGGTCAAGATAAACCCTTTTTTGAGTTGTAGGGTATCTAACTGCAGTGTTATCCTTCAAGATTGTTAATGTACAAGTGTAAGAAAGAATAGAATTAGATTAGAATTATTTAATGTTACTCTAGTTTGGAAGAGTTGGGTGGAAGTCACAAACAGTCTAACTCAGTATGAGAAGTTAACAATCTAATGATTTAGAAATCTTTGAAAGAGTTTGTCAGTTTCCAAGTGTTGAAGTTTTATAGATCCTAGATAACCATCTGTCAATCAGTGCCGTAGAAGAGATATTTGCACTGCATGGAAGTTGAGGAAGATCATCTCTGCACCACTTATTTGTGAAAATTGCCAGAGAGACTTAAACAGGTTCTAGAAACAGATATAAATTGTAGAAGTAGATGAGTCTTCTGCAGTAGATGGAAATTTACTGGGAATTAGTCATTGGTAAAATTTGTAAATCTTTTCCAGTATCAATAAAAGGATTAAAATTGCTATGGTGCCTGAGTGGTTCAGTGGCTTAAACGTCCAACTCTTGATTTTGGCTCAGGTTGTGATCCCCAGGTTGTGAGATTGAGGCTCACATTGGGCCCCATGCTCAGCGTAGTCTTTTTGGGATTCTCTCCCTCTCCCTCTGCCTCTTTCCCCTGCCAATCCTGCTTGCTTGCTTGCTCTTTCTCTCTCAAATAAAATCTTTAAAAAAGAAAATTGATATGCAGTATGTCTATTTCTCTGTGAGATGTGATAAATGGTGGTGACTCTTATTTGGGAACTTCCTTCCTCACTATTAGTACAGCTAGCAGTTTATTAGATCAAATGAAACACTGATTCTGTGTCTTACAGTTAAAGGATTCTCATAATGCATTGTCTTTTTCTCTGCTGCTGACATATGATGTGTAATTGTGTCCAGAGAAATGACTGGACCACTGTAAGAAATCTATTCTGCATCATGATTTAGTGTACACACAAAAAAGATTTGGTGTTCAAAATGTTCACACAATTTGTCTTTCTGATCATGACCTACTAAAAGAGTTTCATGGACTATGTAAGTGGTTTGTATTACACAGTTTGATAAATGTCTCTAAAATAGTTCTATTCAAAGTGAGCTCTGTAGACATGCAGCATCAGCACCACTCTGAAGTTTGTTAGAAATACAAGTTCTTGGGCTGTACCCCAGACATGACCGGTCTGTTTCTGCAGGTAGAGCACAGGGTTCTCTGCTTTAATGCAGGTGATCTGATGCACAGTAAAGTTTGAGATCATTTTACTGGTCCTCTTTGTGCTCCAAAGAGCTTTTGTGTTATATCCATAGATAGTTGCCATTCTATAAATTAAAACTTATGAGATTTAAAAATATTTACTACTTCATTTTTAAAGTACCAAAAATAGATCCATTATATGTTGACATCAGAGCAGTGATGTCATCATACATAGATCTTTTGAATCAGTATATACCTGAAAAAAATGAGGGGAAAACAAATAAATCTTAGTATAATTAGGAAAGGAGGTTTTGCTCCTTTTTTTTTTTTTTTAAGAGAGAGCATGTGCATGCAAGCTGGAAGGATAGGGAGTTGGAGGGGTGGAGGGAAAGGGAGAGAGAGAGAATCTTAAGCAGGCTCCATGCCCAGTGCAGAGCTCAGTATGGGGCTTGATTATGAAAGTAGTTTTGACCGGGCAGGCCCCAAAAGTTCTTGGAGACTCCCCATAGTCCCAAGGCCACACTTTGAGAATTGCTTGTGTAGACTGTATATTTTGAGAAGATAGACCAAATTTTTGTAATCCCCATATAGAGTAACCATGGAATCATATGAGATGTTTTTATCACTAAAGTGTTGGGGAAATCAGGAACTTCTCAGAGTCTCTAGTAGAGGTTTAATCAGGCTATTGAGAGATCTATTCTGAATTTCCAGAGCTAGTTGATAGATTTCACTTGGATTTTTTGGTCTTATTTGAGCAATCTTGCTCCCACCCCTCTCCCCACTGCATGTCCCAGTGCCTGGTATAATACTAGCTCTGTAATAAAGGTTTGATAAAATACGATTTGTAATAAAGGTTTGATAAAATACGATTTGCCTGACTAAATAGTTCTAAAAGATTGAAGTGCTAGATGTTAACATGATGTATATGATTGATTGATTGATCAATTGATTGATTTCCCTTAGGACACAAGTTAACAGAGAATGAGAGAAACCAGTTATTGGCAATAGCATCATCATTGTTTGTGGCATTCCAATTAAGAGCACAACATTTTCAAGAACATGAAAATTCAAGGTATGTTAGATCATCTAAAACAGTATAAATGAGAGAAAAATACTAATAATAGAGTCAGCATAGGAAATAACTAATAAAAGATGTGACTGATCTTAGTTTTAAATCTTGTGTTTGAAGAAGTATAATACAATTGCACTGTTTAAAAATGGTATTGTTTCTATTTTGTTCAAATGATTTTTTTAAATTCAAACAAAAAGGATCTTGGCCTCTCTAATTTGGACATTATTAGAGGTAAGAAGATACTCTGAAACCTTATGGAGTATTTGTTTAAGTAATTTTTATTTATTTCTGTTTTATAGCTTTGTTAATTTCCAACAAAGTTTTAAAAAGTGTTACAGTACAAAAAATTAGGATTGAATCTGAGCAGTAAAAATATACATATACATATAAAATATACATAATATATATATGAAACTCATGAGATTCCAGAAGGAACTAACACCAGGTTGAGTTAGTTACTTGTGAGCCCTAAGTATACTTTTGAGCTTCCTAGTAACACTAGTGAAAGAAAAAACATGCTTTATACCAGGGCAAACAAAAGCAAAATCATCATGACATTAATGCCTCTACATGATGGGATAACTTCTTATGAATGTCTGTGTCCTTGCTAGTGTAATCGTGCTTTAGCAAGTAGAGTCTATTACGTACTAGAATGATGTTGTTGATAAAATTGTGTCACTTCAACTTTGTTTCCATTCTTTTTGCTTTTCCACAAGAGGAAGAACAAAGATAAAAAGAAAAAAAGATGGCAGGTGACTAAACACAGATCAGAAACTCAGATTACCCCTGAAGAATTAGGTAGAGTAAAAGTAAATTGGGTTTGGGCTATATCTTAATGGCTAACTGATTTTAGTCAGGAAATCTTAGTCACTGGTACTCTTCATTTGTTCTCATTCTCAAGAGAACATACAGGAACCTTAATGTATGATTTTTTTCCCATTTTTTTTTTATAAAGGATAGTTTACACACAATTTTACATTAGTTTCTGATGTACAACATAGTAATTTGACAGACAGCTCTTTCGCTCACCATAAGCATAGTTAACATCTGCCATTATATAACACTATTACAGTACCAATGTCTATAATTTATATGCTGTATAATTCATATGGACTTATCCATTCCATGACTGGAAGCCTATACCTCCTCCTCCCCTTCATCCATTTTGCCTATCCACACCACCCACCCCATCAGCCCCTTCCCTGTGGCAACTGTCTGCTCTCTACGTTTATGGGTTTGTTTCTGCTTTGTTTGTTTTGGTTTTTAGATGCATATATAAGTGAAATCATATGACAGTGGATTTGTCTTTCTCAGACTTATTTTACTTAGCATAATCCCTAATAGGTCCATCCATGTTCTTGCAGATGGCAAGAGCTCATTCTTTTTTATGGCTGAGTAATATTCTCTTCCCTCCCCCTCTATGTATATAATGAAGAAAATGGCCGTTGTAAATAATGATTCCATAAATACAGGGATTCATACATCTTTTTGAATTAGTGTGTTCATTTCCCTTGGGTAAATACCCATTAGTGGAATAACGTATGATCTTTTTTTAAGTTATGATTTGATGTCCAGGGAGACATGACAGGTTATTGAATACCAGTAAATTACTGAGTGACTGGAAGGAGGAGAAAAATGGGCAATAGAGCCATGAATCTGGTTGACTTTTTCCCCCCAAAGTTCTGCTAACCAGTGTGGTAGCCGCTGGCCATGTGTACCTACTTGAATTAAAATAAGATTAAAATTTCAGTTTCTCAGTCATGTTGCAGTGCCACTTTAAGTACTCACTGGCCATATTTTCCATGGTACTGTGGCTAGTGGTTACTGAATTCAGCAGTAGAAAAGAACCTTCCATCCTTATAGTTCGTTTCCATCAAGCTCTGTTGGTACAGGGATGTTTTGGAGGTATCTGTGTGTCTAGCTTTTGTTTTATTTATTTATATTTTTAAATAGATACCTCATAGGTTCTTTTTTTTTTAAGATTTTATTTATTCATGAGAGAATAACACACACACACACACACACACACACACACACACACATGGGAAGAGAGAGAGAGAGAGAGAGGCAGAGACAGAAGCAGGCTCCATGCAGGGAGCCTTACATGGGACTTGATCCCCGGTCTCCAGGATCAAGGACTGGACTGAAGGCGGCGCTATACCACTGGGGCTGTCCCTAGCTTTTGTTTTAAAACCGGAATCATCCTACGACCCAGCAATTGCACTGTTAGGGATTTACCCCAAAGATTCAGATGCAATGAAACGCCGGGACACCTGCACCCCGATGTTTCTAGCAGCCATGTCCACAATAGCCAAACTGTGGAAGGAGCCTCGGTGCCCATCGAAAGATGAGTGGATAAAGAAGATGTGGTTTATGTATACAATGGAATATTACTCAGCCATTAGAAACGACAAATACCCACCATTTGCTTCAACGTGGATGGAACTGGAGGGTATTATGCTGAGTGAAGTAAGTCAATCGGAGAAGGACAAACAGTGTATGTTCTCATTCATTTGGGGAATATGAATAATAGTGAAGGGGAATATAAGGGAAGGGAGAAGAAATGTGTGGGAGATATCAGAAAGGGACACAGAACATAAAGACTTCTAACTCTGGGAAATGAACTAGGGGTGGTGGAAGGGGAGGAGGGCGGGGGGTGGGGGTGAATGGGTGACGGGCACTGAGGGGGACACTTGACGGGATGAGCACTGGGTGTTATTCTGTATGTTGGTAAATTGAACACCAATAAAAATTAATTTATAAAAAAAAATAAAAATAAAACCGGAATCATACCTTGTATTATTTTTTATTTTTTTGATAAATACAGTATTCATACCCTGATTACGTTCAGATGTTATTTAGACCTTGATCATTTCTGAAGTCCTGAGGATAGCTAATGATGAACTGGTTTGATCTTTAAGAAATGTATTCAAGTTGTTTTCAGAGAGTGCTGACTTGCCATTGGTAAGAATCTGGAAAAAGGTTTGAAAAGGAAAAGAATAGGGGCCTTGGGTGGCTCAGTTGGTTAAGCCTTTGCCTTTGGTTCAAGTTGTGATCCCAGGGTCCTGGGATGGAGCCCCACATCCAGATTCCTGCTAGGTGAGGAAACTGCTTCTCCCTTTCCCTCTTGTGCTTGCCCTGTCTCTCTACTGTTCTCTGTTTCTCAAATAAATAAATAAATATTTTTTAAAAGGAAAAGAATAAAAATTATCTGTAATCCTACAAACTCTTCAGTAAACACTTTTTTCACATTTTGTTGTATTCCCTTCTAAGTGATTGTGTGTGTGTGTATATATATATATATATATACACACACACACACACCTTACATAGAGGTTGAGGTCCGCGATTCATCAGATTCATCAGTCTTCTATCATTTAACGCTCATCACATCACGTGCCCTCCTTAGTGCCCATAACCCAGTTACCCCACCCCCCATCTACTCTCTCCAGCAACCCTCAGTTTGTTTCCTGCAGTTAAGAGTCTTATGGTTTGTCTCCCTCTCTGATTTCATCTTGTTTTATTTCTTCCTCTATTGAACTTATTAAATAAGTTCTCTGAATGACAAGTTCAGGAAAAAGTTGTTCAGCATCATCAGTCACTAGGGAAATGCAAATTAAAATCACAATGCTACACTAATACACACCAACTAAAATGTACATTAGGTGGTAAGTGGATAAGTAACTGTGATTTATCCATATAATGGAATACTATTTAGCAGTAAAATAGGAAGAAGTACTGATACATGCATCACCATAAAAAATCTCAAATATAAGTCACGCTAAGAGAGAGAAGCCAGTTCTAGAAGACTATGTAATCTATAATTTTATTTGAAGTTTCTAATAAAGGCAAAAGTATAAAGACAGGAAGAAGATCATTGGTTCCCTAGGTTGATGTTGATGTCACAGAATTGCATCTTTATACATTCTGTGCCCCAAACCATAAACCAATAATTACTTTTAATGTATTAGTTTCTTAGGCTATATAGAAAACAAAATGTGGAGTTTGAAACCAAAGTTAAAATAATACTAGCTTTTATAATTGCTTGTGTGTTTACCTTTACTGAAGAACTTATTCATGTGACTTCCTGGGTACTGTCTAGTGTCCTTTCATTTCAACCTTGCAAGACTATTTATTGCCTTTACCATTTATCGTACGGCAGGTCTAGTGGTCACAGACTGCCTCAGCTTTTGTTTCCCTGGTAATGTCTTAATTTCCAGTTTTTTTGTCTTGATCGAGTTTTGTTGGTTTTAGGATTCTTGGTTAACAGTTTATTTTTTGTTTCTTTTTTTCCTTTTAGCACTTTGAATATATCAGCCTCTGGCCCCCACAGTTTCTGATGAAAATCTAGCTATCTATTGAGAATCCCTTCTATGTGATGATTAGCTCCTCTCTTGCTACTTTCAAGATTTTCTCTTTATCTTTGGCTTTTGAAAATTTGATTATAATATGTCTTGGTGTGAGTCTATGAGTTCATCTGACTTGGAGTCCATTGAGCTTCTTGAATTTTTGTTTTAAGATTTATTTATTTATATGAGAGAGAGAGAGAGAGAGAGAGAGAGAGAGAAAGAGAATGAACATGAGTGGGAGTGGCAGAGGGAGAGAGAATATGAAGCCGACTGTGCTGAGTGCAGAGCCTGACACAGGGCTTGATCTCAAGACCCTGACATGACCTGAGCTGAAACCAAGAGTTGGCCACTTAACTACTGCACCACCCAGGTGTCTCAAGCTTCTAAAATGTTTATATTCATACCTGTCACCAAATTTGGGAAGTTTTCAGCCATTATTCATATATTTTCTCTACCCTCTCCTCTCTCTCCTTCTGGGACTCCCATGACATGTACATTAGTCATCTCGATGGTATCACAAAGGACCCTTAGGTTCTGTTCATATTTCTTCAATCTTCCTCTTCTTTATACTTGAGAATTTCTCTTGTCTTCAAATTGGCTGATTCTTCTGCGTGCTCAAATCTGCTTTTCAATCCTGAGTTTTTCATGTGA